AAGATTCCACATATATGTGAAATTGCATGGTATTTGTCTTTCTCTGTCTGACTTATTTCACTTAGCACAATTTCAATCACTTTCATGTCTTTTTCTTCTGAAATCTGTCCAACTTCCCTCTTTAAATTATAGAGCCCAAATTGAATAAATTATTCCAGAGTCTGACCAGTGTTGTGTTTCAACATTTTGTTCTCTGTTCATGTGTCCTTCAGTTCCGATGTGTTTGCACAGCAGGGCGTGGCCTGTGGCCGGGCGGCCTGTTACAGGCTCCCTGTGGCCAGGCCAGGCTCCTGCACAGCTGGAAGAGCATAGCACAGAGCAATGCTTTCTAGAGTGTTTGCAGGCCCCGGACTCCTTGGAGGGCCCCGGTCTTCTACCTGCTGCTTACTTTAAGCCAGGGCAGCTGTTCTCTTAGCTGTCTAATATGTAAGAGCTGGCATAGACTTTTATTGGAGACAACAAGAGGTTGTAGTTCTAAGATATAAACTGTTGAACAAAAATATATCCAGAGACACAGAAGCATCGAACAGACAATCAAACTTCAGAGGGAAGGCAGGGGTTGGTAAGGGGTCATTAAATAAGAGATCAACCAAAGGACTTGTATGCAGATAAGCATAACCAATGGATACAGAAAATAGGGTGGTGAAAGCCTGTACTGGGAGGCAGGAGCAGGTTGGGAGAGGTCAGTAGGGGAAAAAGGAGACATATATGATACTTTCAACAATAGAGAATTTGAATGAATGAATGAATGAATGAATAAATAAATAAATAAATAAATAAATAAATATTTGGTAATCACCCATGATAGAGAAAACCTATAAGCTTTGGAACAATACAGCAAGGATAAGAGAGAGAGAGATCAACCAAAGGACTTGTGTGCATGTATATGAGCCTAACCTATGGTCACGGACAACAGGGAGATGGGGTCATGTGTGGGGAGGGGTTTGAGATGGGAATGGGGGGATAAGGACAAATATATAATACCTTAATCAATAAAGAAATTAAAAAAAAAAAAAGACAGCAAGGAATCCTCAATCTGTCACTCTCCTTACTATGGGCGGGTCATTTAATCTCCCAGCCCAGGGACTGTCTAGAAAATGGGTCTAAGTCTAAATCTTACTTTGTAGGGTTATTGTGATGAATCCTAGGAATTTATATAAAATGTCTAGCACCGTATGACACGCAGAATCTACTTGATAGCAAGACACTCTTTATATTTGTGTTATTGGGAAAAAATTCAGTGTCCTGAGACTGTGTCAGTATCATCGTTTTGAAGTTATGACCATTAGAACTGTCATTTACTATGCCAGAGCTTTTTTTATTTTTGGTAGATTTCCATTTTATTCAGGCCTGGAGTCACGTTAATGAATGTGTTGGATTAGATGGTTTAAAGCAGATTTCAACTGAAACATCACATGAAATATTGAGAGGAAAGGGACACTGTTAATCTTATGCCTCAGTTTCATAGTTGAGCCAGGCTGTTTCTATTTTCGATTATGTTCCGTAAGAAGCGGCTAATTTTAGACTGCAGTTGCAAACCTTTCAAGTCCCGTGAAACATTTTCCTTTGATGTGAAACATTTTCAGCTCCGTGCTCTCAGCACCTAGCCCCGCGCCTGACACGGAGCAGGCATCTTGCAGCCCGGGCCGGACGCGGAGTGTGGCCTGGTCTGGAAACCACAAGAAGCAGCAGACCAGACCCGACCGCGGATGAGTGAGGGGAGGAGCTATGGGCCTAGGACTGCAAAGTCTTATTTAGTGGGACAAATGCATTGCACAGAAAGCAAGTACCCAAATACACAGCTCGGGAGGAGTAAAGCAACAACTTAAGACCATGATGCTGTCTGGTGGAGTATTTCATTGGCCAAAGTGACTTCAGAGGAGAGAATCGGTGCTCCGCCATGGCCGGTGGGGCAGTGGGAGTTTAAGAAAGCAGGTCAAGCACACTGTCTGGACCCATGAGCTTCACGGCCCAGCACCAGGACTGAGAGTGGGGGGCAGATGGCCGAGGAAATTCATTCACATCAAGTGACCTTTTAGAAATATCAATCTGATCATGCCATCCCTACTGAAACTCAGTCAGTGGCTTCCCTTCATTCTGGATAAACCCGGTTCCTTTCAATGTCTGCAAGGCCTTGGAGATGGGCCCCTGCCCACCACACCAGCTTCACTTCAAACCAGGCTTCCTCTGCCATCAGCTCCTACTACATTGACCTCTCAGTGTCCGGAGCCACTTTTGTCCCCGAGCCTTTCACCTGTTGCAGCTCCTCCTCAGCTCCCTTGGGCCTGCAGTTCCTGTCTTCCTCTGGCTCTCAGCTCTAAGGTCACAATTTCAAAGGGGACTTTGCCGTTCACCCAGTTAAATCCCTTGCTGTATTTCCTTCCGAATGCTTAGATTCTCAAAGATCTTGGTCATTTAGTAGCTTACGTTTTCACCCTTGGTCTCCTAGATGAAAAAGAGCATTCCTTAAGTGCAGTGGATGTATTTTCCTGTTCCCCACTGTGCCCTGAGCCTGGCACAGGGTTTGGTACGGATCACATGCCCAGGGGTTCTGCAGAATAAATGTGTGACTGAGTGAATGGGAACAAAACCGAATAAATGTGCGACTGAGTGATCAGGCTGGTGCATGTGCTAACCTGAAATTGTCACTGTCAGTACCATATAGTGTTTTATGATCTTACCTTTAGATCTTTCAGAACAGGGAAATAATTTATACCATACTAAAAAACTTTAACAGAAAAATGTGTGCACAAATATAAATGGCTATTATTTTCCTTGTGAAAACTTAAAATAGAAAAGAAATGGTTTCTTTTCATTTCACTTATAGGTGGTATCTGAAAAACACACACACATGAATAAACAAAACAAAGCAGAAACAAACTCATAGATACAGAGACCAATTTGATGGTTACCAAAGGGGGAGGGGCATGGGAGAATGGGTGAGAATCCTATATAAAAAAAGTGTAGTATGCAAATTGTCCCCTCCATCAGGGGTTGTCCAGGAATTCAACGAGGGGGCGGGGCTAGCCAGGGGAAGGGAGGGAGACCCTGGCAGTGGCAGGTGGCTGTGGGAAGGAAGAGAGTATTCAGCAGGCAGCCATAGCTGCTAGGGACCATACCAGTACACAAAATTTGTGCACTGGGCCTCTAGTAAATAAATAAATAAATAAATAAATAAATAAATAAATAAATAAATAAAGTACTGTACATGTCAGAACAGTCACACAAGAACAAAATACAAAATGAAAAAGAAACAGAATTTTACACGCTTCCATCTCAATGGGGGAGTGGGCTGGTGCATTTTCTGCACATGCCTAAAGGTTATACTGCAAATATCCACACCCAGACAACATCAGAGGGCCCCTTTTTCTAACCTGGAAAGGGTGTTTGTAATTCCCTTCAATTTGTATACCCACAATACATGGCTGTACATAAACAGACATTCAACAGTTCCAGCAGAATTCCTGCTGCCAAAGAGAAGAAAAACGTCAGAGTAAGCTGTAAAAAAATGTGCTTGGTTTTTAAAATGTAGATATGGCAATTCGCAGCATTTATACAAATTGCTATATACTGAGGGCTGCAACTCTGAGAATGAATAGTAAGAAATAGTTGCAGCTAAGAGCAAATCTGAGGACACTTGTTTTGAAAGCAAAGGCTTAGTCAGTATCACAGCACTCTGGCAATCCACATAGCATTCACCAGAGGGCTTTGTATTGGCTTGAGACATTATGTATTGATTTTCTTGGATGTAAAATGCTCTATTTAAAATGCCCAAAAAGAAAATTTCATCTTGGATGAAGTCTTACTCCATTTTTAAAAAAAGTCCTCTTTACATTTTGGGCATATTAGTTTGAATAATATCAATGTGATTAAATAATGGCTGGATGGATCTAATATTTTATACCTTATTTTTTTGCTATGACTGTATACACATTCTGTGACTTCTATAAATATACAGAAATGTTAGATAGTATCAGCAGAAAACATAAATAGCTTCAAGAGGAGTTAGATAAATGAGGAAGTGCTAGATCTTTGGTGAGAGAGTTTAGGAGAGCTAGAAATGTTTAGGTAAAGTAATAAATAGCATGTTTTCCCACAAGGTCATGGCTTAGACGTGGAATATAAAGCTGTATTAGGCCGCTGGCACATTGAAATTTTTATCCGAGTGTATTTGTGCTCTCTTTTCTGTTCTACATCAGTATATTCAGCATATATTTTCCCCTATTTAAAAAAAACAACCTAATTTATATAACTACTTTGGAGTTGTTAGGACGATGGCTATTTGTGGATAACAGAGAAAGTATTCTTCATGGGTGAATAAAATGAATTCCATAGCCCCAAGGCACACTGAACCAAATAACAGCCAGATTTAGGCTTGAGAGGACATAACACCAAGCACCTATAAACACAGCCCCATCTCACTGAGGGTGTTTCCCTGATAAATCTATAAAGGGAAATGCTTTTCTAATAACCTGAGACCAAACAGTCAACTCTCGAGTATTTATAACAGAAAGGACTAGTGTTTAAGATATTTTAAAGCACAAACTATTTTTAAGTGGCATTTTTCAGTTTCAAATGTAATAACACAAACATTTTTTGGCCAGCTTACATCCTAATGATGCTGTAACGAGGCTATATTTGACAGTTGGCATCTCCTCAGCAGAGGTCAACTGGACGGGGTACGAAGGGAGAGGCAATTTAAGAGCAGGATGCAGAGAAATAGAAAACTGGCTCAGGATTAAGGATGCGCTGTGACTAATCCACAAAACCAATAATCCACAGGTGGACAATATTTCATAGAAGGCACAGAGGATGCTGCTCTGGCTTTTTAGGTATCAACAAATATTTCCATAACATACAGCTATATTGCTTTGTTTAGGATTTACTTTTTTTTCCCCCCAGCAAAGAAGATTGTGCAGAAATGCTAAAGTGATCTTTTAAGCTTTTAAATGACCATCACAGGCCACAATCCAGCACAATACCACACAATAGCATGTTACCTTGGATACAAGGCTGGCTCTGTATGCTGCTAGTTGCTTCAGGTACTCTTTCTTTGCAGCCTCGGTTTTCTTTTTATAGACCTGTAACAACAACAAAGAGTCTTAAATTAGAAAGTGCACCTGCTTTTGTTCCCAGAGACGTACAATGCAGAATGATAATTGCATGCACACAACATGCACATTCACACACATATGCACACACAATTGTAATATATATATATATTGTGTTCTGTTCCTGAAACAGATTTTTAAGAAGCATGACAATCAGCTAGATAAGAAGATTAACAACAATAAAATTTTCCATTTTACATAAAGCATATGAAAGGATCTATCTAGTTTACTTTGAGAGTAGAGGTAGTTGGCTCAGCAAGATACGATTGATGAAGGTTCCCAGGGAAACCACACACGAGTAAAGAAGCCATTCACATTTATATGTGAGCAGATAATTCTACAGTGCATTCAAATCCTGATAAATACGCTCCATGCTAAATAAAAAACAAGGACAGAGTTGAGCGATGACCAATGATGTCCAATAAGTAAATCAGAGGTTTTGGTGTTGGTAGGTTCTATTTCAAAGCCTCAGGGATTGGCGATGGAGGTCACAGGCACATTTAGGGGTGCAATGGGACCTGAGTGGCCGAGGACTGCGCTCATGTCCCGCCCTGCAGCCAGCCCTGGTCACGTCCTTTCCAATGAAAGCACCAGATGACATGGACCTGTGGACTCCTCGTTGGGGAAAGGTAAAGGTGTTTCAGAAATGAGTTTCAGTTGACAGAAGTTTTCATTCCTCAGAGGGAATCATCTTGAAAATAAAAGTAAAATCCCCTTAAATTGAGCAGAAGAACTAAAAAACGACTTGTGGCTATGCTAAAGGTCACCTCGCTAAGTTATACGGGAAGGAATCATTAGAGTTGAAAATGAAAGATTAGCAAAGTGAACACACATGGTTGTCTGCTACTATTATGTCAATTCCTTCAAGCTTTTAGAATAATTTTTTTAAAGCAATCTTTTGAAATCAGCCTTAAAGAACAAACTCTTTTTCATTATTTACTGTGTAAACAGAAGTGTATTTTTATCAACAACTATTTTAAATTTCCCACATCTTGAATTTTACAGCAGGGAAGGAGGTTTGGCTAATATTTTGTACTGCTGAACTCACAAACAGACACAGATGAAGGACTGAAAAGTGGCTTTGGAATTAGACCAAAGAGCTGCCAAAGTTGTCAGCAGAGGTCAATTTGTGGTTTTAGGGTATGTGGAGCCCAGTCCCCAACTGTGAAATCCAAGGTGAGAGAAATATTATTTACTCATGAATATTTTAATTAAAGCAGAACATTTTACTTAAGGTAAACAATCGACTGGCCTTGTGTACAGAACTATAAAGGTCCCTATGAAATAAATGTGCTCTTCTTTTAGGAAGGTCTGCAGCCTAGACTTTTATTCTTGGCATTGTGATGTAATGAAAGGCAATTTAATGAGATAATTAAGAATTCATACAATATTACCATATAATCATTGTGCCATCTTAACTAAATATGAAACTCAAAGAGACTTAACATTTGTGTGTGTGTGTGTGTGTGTGTGTGTGTGTGTGTGTGTGTGTTTAATAAATAAACTAATAAATTCTTTGGCTTAAGAACAAGAGTATTCCAAATTTACTGAGCTAATTATTGGATGTCAAACTCAGATTCTTTTTTTTTGAAATTTGCACGTGGAAACAAACACCACTAGGTACAGCAAATGGCTTTGAATAATATGACCCACCCATGTATATGACATGCCTCGTTTCAGCCACAATCAGAAACACAAAGCTCTTTGCTTTTTATTGATTTGTTTTCACCTTGAAAGACAGATTGCTGTTTTTAGTTTTTTCTTCAACCATCTTCTTCGAGACATAATTTATAATTGAGTTTAAGCTGACAATGTTTACATTTACATTTAATAAAAATATTTCTAGAGGATTTCTCTCCCACGCACATAGAAATCCTATTTAGGACTTTAAAGCAAATATTTAGTAAATACTGCATATTGTTGATGGTAATATGCATTTGTATGCTTGAAGCACTTAGGTTTTTATTAATAAGCTACTCCATTTGACCCCCAGGTAGCTAACCGGGGTTTGCTTAACTTCCAAAGGCAAATAGAACACACCCACAGCATTGCCAAAAGCATCCTTTTCTCAGTAGTAGCAGATAAGATAGGTGGCCAGGTGGCCTGATTGTAGCATCCATCCTCATTCTTGCATTGGGTTTCTACTGAAACAGCAACTGTGTGACTAAGGTGCTATCCCTTGGTGGGACTCCCAACCTCTCACAAAGTGTTAACTTTCCTGAAAGGTGTTGATTAACAACCATAGGAAGATGGTGGCTAGCAACACATTTCAGGCTGAATATGTGCCCCTGCTTTCACTTGGAGATCGATGTTGTTACGAGATGCCTGACTAGCATTCAGAGTGGCCTGTTTTCTACAAATGGCTCCCTATTGGCTATTGATGATTGGCTATGTTGGATCATCACACAAGTGCCTAAATACCACTTTACAAAAGAGAAAACTCATCACTTCGTGTTATGTGGATTGATGGAGCCACGCTTTCCTGAATAACTGCAGGTATTCACAGGGAGGATTCAAATGGCAGTCATTTCAGGAGGTATATTTCCTGAAATATTGAGTTTAATTCAGATCAGAATTAAAATCTGAGTCAAGTTTCCTCAACAGTAGTTTGGACCTCCACCTTTGAGATCTATCTAATAGTTCCAACATTATACTGTATGTCTTTCTAACATTTTATGAGAATGCTTCCCCCCCCCCCCAATTCTGTATTTATTGGAAATGTCTGAAAAAAGATCTCAAATGTATGAGACAGTGACAAAAATATGTGCATATTCAACATATAGGTGAAGTGGAGAAATTCTTACTTTAGAACAGATATTTAAAAATCATCAGTAAAAATTTCCTCAAAAATGTTTCAAAGCACCTTAGCCATCTTGGCTCAGTATTTAGGGTGCTGGTCCATGGACTGAAGGGTCATGGGTTTGATCCTTGTCAAGGGCATGTACCTTGGTTCCAGGCTCAATCCTGGTGCTGGTTAGGGCATGTGCAGGAGGCCACCAATTGACATATGCTTCTCACATCGATGTTTTCTCTCTCTGTCTCACCCCACCCTTCCACTCTCTCTAAAAATCAATGGAAAAATACCCACGAGTGAGCATTAACAACAACAAAAATGTTTCAAAGCCTCTGTTCATGGAGGGAGGAAGTCTACTTAAAGAAACCAACAACGGTGCTGACTGCCTTTGGCAATGAACTACCCACGGCGGCGGTGATCAAACCTTCAAACCTAGGAGGATGGGTCTGATTTATATCAAAGTTAAGTTTGGGAAAGAAATAGTTTCTCTCTCAGGGAAAGACAAATATTTTAAAGATATGTGATTCATACAGTAAATATTAGTACTCAGTTGAGCTATAAAATGGCTTCCAAATGGTCTACAGCTGTTTGAAATAAAGTGCAAAGTTAGCCAGATGGGGATTTAAATATCATAATACATCATTTATCATTTTCCCCAGCTCATCCAAACACTTTTGAATTCATCCTGTCCTAACTTAGTTATATGCTGTGGTTTGTTATTCTAAGAAAGCTACCATATCCTATCTAAGGATTGCATCTCGGTGGTTAAACTAAAACATATATAATGGCTAACCTAAAACATACGTAAGATAGACATCAAATAGCAATTCTACAGAATCCATATCCTGTTCATGTAATCTAGTGATTCACTGAATCATTTTTGAAATGCTCTAAATACCAGCAGTACACATGTTTTTACAGGCTAATCATCCCTAATTGAAATCAGCAGTTCAATATCAGTGACTATAATAAACTCAACAAGAAAAAAAATCTAATACATTTTTTCATTATACTTTTACTTTCTGGTCTTTTCCCACACAATCCATCCAACTCATACAAAAAAGCAAACTCTTATAAATACCACTTAATTCCTTCTTCCTTCCTTCTTTTCAGCTCAGGTTCTTAGTTAATCTCTAGTCATACTTTATTCAATGAAACTTTTATAGTAATAATAAGAAAAATATATAATTCTTCCAATTTTGTATTCTATTCAAACACTATAAAAGTCAAAAGGCATTTTTTGGAGGTTGACTTCAAATGCAGTTTTCTTACTCCACTACAAGTTCATATTTATAGAAAATGCTTAGAAATACAGCTATGTATTAGAAATAATAATTTAGCCACCCGTCCCTGCCATATCCTTTAGAAATTAATGTTTGTAGCTTCTTTCAATGCTGTTATTATTTAGGACAGTTAGAGAAAGTACATTTATATTTTATATAGTACTCAGTCCTCAAATGCAGTTAAGTTTCCATCTTGTGTAAAATGCTAAGCATTTTCTTTAGCATTCCAAAGACCTTTAAAAGTAGTATTCAGAGGACTGAAAATATTATACAATGTGAGAAAAATCTTGCTATCAATTCCTTTTTGGAACATCTGAATTCATCTAAAAAACCCACATAATAGTGCTATGGCCTGTTTCTGGAATGGTAGATATCAGAAACAAGTTCCTTTTCTGTTAAGAAAAAAAGGCTACAAAATATATCTGTTCATTTATTAAATGAGGATGACGGGCAAAGTATGATACCATTCATTTAACAATATATTCAATGTCTAATATGTATCCAGTGTGGTTTGGGGCACTGAAACTATGGATTAAAAATCAGCATTAAAAATATGCCTGTTAAAAAAATAAATTAAAAAATGCCTTTATTGTATGCATTTTTTATTAAGCACTAAGCGCAATATATATATATATATATATATATATATATATATAGTCTTTAATTCTTTTAACAAGAATATTTAAATGGTATTTATTATTCCCCATTTCACAAATAAGAAAATGGACGAGAGTGGGTAGTCATTTTACAGCAAGTATGGCACACCCATAGTGAAAACAAATTGATCAGGTTCAAATTTCTACTTTCGTTTACTCAGGGGCTCCTCCTAGCGGCGAGACAACTCCCTTATGCCTCCCTCAGACACAACAGCAGATCTGTTTTCTACAGTGGAA